AGGGCTGATGTACCTGCCACAGATACCTCCAGCCACCTTTATAAATGGGTTATAATTCAGAGGAATTACTGAAGGACAGAGAAGAGCTTAACGAAGCCAACACTTTATGTTTTTACATTTGGTAGCATCATCTACATCAGAAACTTTTATTATTACTTCAGGTAAAGATGCATGCTCCAGTTAATGTAGAGTATCACTGTTCACAGTGATTTCTAAGATACAGCTGATCTGGCAGCACAGGATATTTCTCAGTGGTGATGCTGTGGGGAGCTGTGGTATCACTCAAAACATTTATTGCCATTGTGAAGGCAGAATTTTTCCACTATGATTCTTCTTTGTGGTTCTGCTTTGTCCCATGGTGCTGGCAGCTGTGTGCACCAACAGCTGTTATGATTCCTTTATGTGTGCTTTCTTGGAGAGATTTGTTATACCTGCCAAGCATCTGGAAACATGCTTTGAAGGGCCCAGACTACTGGTGGCCCAGATTACAGGTGGCATTTAGATTGCTGGTGAAATTGAAATGTTGCAAATGAATAAATCAGAATTTTCAGAATTAATAAGGAGTTGATTTCATAAGCCTAGATTATATCTGTGTTTACAGAAATTGATATTCTTATGTAAAAATCAATATCTGCTGTACATGATGCAGAATTATTTTGAATATTGGGAACTTATGGTGGATATTGGAGTGCATGTATTACTGGTAAACACCATAGAGAAATTTCCTGTATAGCTCTTTTTATTTTTTCTCAGATGGACAAGAAAGAGATACTTAGTTGTATTTGTTACACTTCTCAGGGGTACATGCTGACATTTACTTTACAATGTCCCAAGCCAAGGTAATTTTTGTTGAATTTGTACTGAGATAAAATGGCTATGGAGGTTATTTGCTTTTTCACCTGACTCATACATGAATCACAGATGTTCAAAATTATTTTTTTGAAAAATAAAACAAATTTCATGAATTGCCTTCAGAATAGATGTTCCTGCTAAGGCTGATTCTAGCTTTAGTCTTTAATACATCTGGAAAATACCTAAATAACCAATTCCTGTGCATCACTAACTCAAACCATAACTACACGAGTAGCTTTCCAAGCCTGTGAGTCCAAATTGTGGAGTGGAACATAACTTGGTTTTCTGTGTGGAAACAGGGATTCTGCAACCTTTTTTCACACTGATCAGAGTTCTCTCTGACAACTGCATCTTTGGGTTCAAAGATGCAAGCCAAGTAGTAAGATACTAATCAGTGTAAATCTAAAGGCCTGTTTTAAATTGTTATTCACATTTTCTGCAAACCAGAGAGAACTGAGCAACCTGTGTACAAGTGTTAAGTACATAGCTACCATGCCATGCTCTTCTTCTTGAAGAATAAAACATTATTCTATCAGTTACAGAATGAAGAATTGCTTAGTATAAATCACTTTTGTTTAGTTCAGTTAAATTGTTCAGCTTTTATATCATGGTGGAAAAAATATATATGTAGCCTTAACAGGATTCTGGTAAAAGATAATATACAACTGTAAGCTAAAATAGTATACTGCTACTAGTTATTATACTTTTTGAAGAGGAATCTTAAATTCTGTGCTGAAAGCAGAACCTTTGTTTTTAGGATGTGATGTGTGTGCTGAATATCGAAAGCGTCTGGAAATCACTTAATTTGCAATTAGATTATCTCCCTTCAGCTTTGGTTATTGGTAAAGAGAAATCTGAAGCTGAGTGACAGTATGTTATAAATTACCAATGAAAATTTCCCAATTCTTTGTCCACTTGCTATTTATTTTTATTAAAAAAAAAAAAAGCAGCAATCAGCACCCATTGCTGTCACAGTAGGAGCCATGCAGCTTTGCCTAATCCTAAATTTGTTGTTCATCTACTGCTATTTTCCTTTGTGATACTCAGATTATGCAACTAAATATGTTCTCTGTACTCTTTTATGTTGTCAGTGAAATGAAGAGTGTTACACATGTATGTCCAAAGACAGAATCTTGCTGCGGTGCATGTACTGACTGATCCAATGTGGAAAAAGGGCCAGTACAGTGCACTGCCTTCCTGCAAATGCCTGGTGAGACAGGGCAGTGAGAAGTGCTGTGTTGACATGGAAGTGTGCTGAGAGCACTAAAAGAGGAGGGAAAGCTGCTGGGGAAACTCTTTGCCCTAGTCCACTCCAAATTTCTCTGCACCAATCTTGTGAGACACAAACTATGCCAGAGACTTATGAAAATGTTTCTGAAGAAATACTGCTTAAGATGTGCAACACAGCACCCAGCACCAAGCCCAGAGAAGTTGTGGCTGCCCCATCCCTGGCAGTGTTCAAGGCCAGGTTGGACGGGGCTTTGAGCAACCTGCTCCAGTGGAAGGTGTCCCTGCCTATGGCAGGGGGTTTGAAACCAGATGATCTTTAAGGTGCCTTCCAACCCAAACCATTCTAGGCTTCTATGATTTACCTACTGCTGTTGGTGTTAAGTGTGCTGGTGGACACCCTGATTTGTGAGTAATCCTAGATCTCCCTAAAACTGATTGGTTTACCAGATGTTCATCTCTTGCAAATCCTGTGTTCATATCCTCTGGGAAAGCTGTGGAATAGCAATGCCTAGTGGGATCTGAGCTGAACAGTAATATTAGGAGGGTGGAGAGTGATTTGTTTTTGAGTGGCTAGGCAATTTGAAGGTGTCACTGGATGAAGTGTGAAGTGAAAAGGAGTAGAAGATGAGGAAGCAGTAAAAGGCACAGAGCAGCTAAAGCCTGAGGAAGAGAGCAAGCCAGAGTAGAGTTTCTTGTCAAGGGGAGAATGGCTGAGAGTAATTTTGGGGACTGTGAACAAAGATATGTCCTGTTTGTTTGTGTGGACGGCACCCTTTGTACTGCACAAATTCCCACCCACTGAAGTGCTTGCTCCTGGAGAAAGCTGTCTGTGTTGGTGGACAGGTATTGCAGCTTCTCCTGCTTCAGCAGCTTTGGTACTGGGTGCAGCTTGCTGGGAGACTGCAGTTTGTTTTGGGAGGCCGGTCAGGGCGCTTCTGCTTTGAGCACCATGTCGGCATCTGTGCCCAGCAACGGCTGCTTGCTGGGAAGCAGGAAGACACCCAGGGAGAGGAATCAGAGAGGTGTGGAGGATCTGAATCCCAAAGGCAGGTGTGAGCTTTGTATGTGAGGGTGTAGCAAAGCAGCAGGCTCATGATAGGGGGAACACAGGAATACTTGAGGTCTGGTGTCATGGATTAGGAGGGCATGGAGATGCACTGAACCATGGATTCACTGAAACACTTTGTTTTTCAAAACCAAATTTGCAGGAACTATTGTGAATTACAGTTGTTTTGCTAAAGAATGCTGCTTTCTGCTTTTGGTACAAGGGCTAAGACACACTTTTGTGATTTTCCCATTTTTCTTCCCTGTCTGTCAACCTGTGACCTTTTACTGTATCTGTTTATTTCCAAGACAAGTCTGTGGGATCCCTCTGTTTTGACAGAAGCAGTAAACCAACACCTCCTGCTGTCTCAAAAGTACTTCCCTAAAGGCTTGGTGAGTTATGAGGTGAAATATGTCTTATTTATATTCTCATAGAGCACCAGAATACGCAGTAGTGAATAGTTCATTTTATTGACATTTTATTTTTGCAGAATAGACATTCACATTAACAACTAGAGAGCCTAGATTGTAAGTGGAAAGCATAAAAATTCATTAGTGTAGGTATAGTATGATTACATGAGGTCCAATCATCCTCACATACAGCTTCAATGTATTGACATTAAAGAAATTACTCAAAACAAACCCTAATACAAGAACAGGTTTAATAAGTATTGCAAGGATCCAATCAGAAAAGCAGGGCATTCACTTTGCAGATGATAAAGAGGTTGGCCTTTTGATTTGGTAGTTATCTGCTCTATGTCACAGTTTCCTACTTTTGAAGTTCCTGTTCTCTGGGCTGCTAGAGAGCAGATACATGTGATGTTCAAGCAAATGCACACAATGAGGAGATACACCAGCACCACTCCACTTCAGCCCTCTCCCTTCATGGAGCAGCACTGAATGCTATCTTGGATGACATTATACTATCTCTGACACAGGAATCTAAACAGCAGCCAAAGAGAGAGAAGAGCAATGGGTCTATTGGCCTGGTAAGGTTTTGCTAGTCACAGCTTCCCCTGCTGAAAGAGTTCAAAGTGTAGTACAATGGCAAAGTAGGTAGGTATTGAACAAAATTTTATGTTTCTGAAGCTCTTCCTTCCAAAACAGAGATTTCAAGTACTGCAATATTGGAAACTATACTAGTGCTGTGGGCAAAAAACATTCTTCTTCCGAGGAAGCTTCTCCTTCTTATTTGATTGGTGGCTTCTATTATCCCTTTGAAGTGCTGTAGCTGGTAGTCGGTAGCTCTATTTCTGTTCAGGCCATATGGTGAGGTGGAAAAGTGTTGGATATTTTCCAACACAGTGATGAGTCACCTCAAAAGAAGAATAATAATTTGTCTTTAAGAGAAGTAGGCTTATAAAACTTTGGGTTTGGGAATAAGACTTTCCATTCTCTGGAGGTAGGATTGAATCCTACTGCTGAGTACAGTGTCTTCTGTCACTGGAGTCTTATATCCCCTTTTTTACAAGCTCTACATAATTGTTCTAAGACATGAAAAAGCCATAGGCAGATGATTTTATTGACAATTTTATTGAGGGCTTTTACCTCAATAGGTAATAGGTAAAGGGACAAACCCTTTCCTGGAGGAGAGGGTTTTTTCAGAGTTGTGTGTCATAGGGAAAGCAGTAACAGAGCAAAGCTAATCTCTTCTTTTAACTCACACAGATTTTCAGAACTGAAAAGCTTATGCAGAAGACCTCCCTGTGGATTTTCTTAATGGTTTTCGTATGGATCCTAGTTCTATGTATTCAGAAGTTTTCTCTTTTCTTCATACGTACAATGTAGGTTTAATATTTTGTTCCAACCCACTTTGGTGTTGCACTTTTTTATCTTTTTTCTTTTTTCTTTCTTTTTTTTTTTCCCGGTGGAAGTTATGTTTGGTTAGTGATGTTGCTGACTGCTGCCCATTCTGGAAAAGTATTCAGCTGGAAGAGTCTAATTCCCCAAGTGTTGATTGCTACCATGACCACAGCCAGGCCAATCAGATTTACACCCAGGCCAGCTTTCACCTACGAAAGCAAAATGCATCAGAGCATGATCAATGGCAACTTGTTAACATGGAACAGTTAACATGATAAAAAGAAGGTGGTAGAGTGTCTGTATGTATACTGACTTATATATATTGTGATAAATTGTGTATACTGATTCCTAGAGCCAAAAATGCACAGCAAATATTATGTATCAGAGTATACATTGTGGGAAGCATTCAGGACTGGTAGTCAGGGGTTGATGCAGTACATTGGAAAACTGTTAAGTTTGTTACTTGTACTTCTCCATTCGATAATCAGAATGGGGAGTTATATCACTCATAGCAGGGTGATAACTACATGACTTACGGTGGAGCTATGTAATAAATCTGATTGCTATACTCCCTTGTGCTTTTCTTAACAGGTCAATGTGAAGGATTGTGTACTCCTGTTCTTTGATACCTCTTTAGACCATTACCATCATGAAAAATAAAGATGAGAAATATGCATATCCTACAGCAGATGTGTGGATGTTCTTAACCTGACAGCTCAATTGCAAAACAGCAGTACAGTCTCTAATACGCAGGCTTCATATTAACAGCAATATCATCGTTATTATTATTGCTGTTTGATGGGGAGACAAGGCGTTGGGGTTTCATGAAGCATGAGAGGATATACCTGATTTCAAAACTCACCATATCTTTAATCTGGCAGTGCCCATAACTGAAGACAATGGCATTTGGAGGATTACCCACTGGTAGCATCACCGCAAATGAGATACACAGGGTGACAGGAATCAGGGTGTACAAAGGGTTGATAAGTAGGGTTTCTGACTGGAAAGAGAGAGGGAGAAAGATGTTTCAGTTAACCAATAAAAGCCACTGTCCATAATTAGGATGAAAGGACCCTCTCTGCTTTATGTGAAGACAAAATTCTGTGGATCTCATCTCCCCAGTTTCTAAACTTAAGTGTGGAAGGTTTTTGTTTGTTTGTTTTGGGGTTTTTTTGTTTGGTTGTTGGTTGTTGACTTCAGTCTTTGTCCAACAGAAATCACTGAGTTGACATGAAGAATGTCCTTCTTTTAATTGCTGATATAATGAGACCAATGGAAAGTCCTCCTAAATGGTGGTTGAGAAAACTAGCTGTTTGTGGTCCAAACACACATGCCACTTTACAGTGGTCTAAAGACTTGTTCTTCCACTGCAGCCTTCAGTATTGGAGAAATTTTGCATTTTTGTTTACATTGCCGTGGCCTAGTTTTATGTCAGAGGGAAAGGGAAGGGTATTCACAAGGCTAACTTCATTTTAGGGAAGGAAGTGTTTCCAGGTTTTTACAGTCAAAAAAGAGAGACTGCCTTAAGATGGCAGTTCAGACTACTAAAAGCATATTACTGCTTTAAATTTTTCTTCAGGAGAGTCTCTTTCTGCATGGAGCAGAAGTAAATCTGAACTCATAAGCCATACAAACATAATTACTTATTTTCATCTGACCATATTTTCATATTAACTCAGAGCTGTTCACATAACATATTTTGGGACAATCCCATAAAATTGCTATAATAGGGAAACACAATTAATGGCCCACATTCTTGGTAAGAAAAGCTTCATATTAGAAAAAAGAAAATAAATGAGTTTTCTGTAACTGCTATTCCAGTATAAAAATAAATTTGTCTCTTTCCTCTGCCTTTGTCACCAATCTCTTGTTTTTTTCCTGTCCCTTACAGACATTGCTGCTTTGCACGTTGGACGATGGTATGCTAACTAGATCACCTCCCTGAACACATTTAAATCTGATATAAAATTCAGTACTACAGTCTTTTCTTACAAGTAGTGAGTGTGTGACTACTTGCTAATGAACATCACATTTAAAATAACATTGATAAAAGTATCTAAAGCTTTATGTGGACTTCACCTATCTTGTTCATTGCATCATCACCTTCTCTTGTACACAGCCTGTGAATCTGTCAGCGCAGCAGCTGTTTTCACTTTCTCTGAGAGGTATTGAATAAATTCCTCAGTGCTAAAACATGTCTTTGGCTGCCTGAGTTTATTATTTTTTCCTAAGCCAAAGAATGCAGGCAATAGTAGCTTGGGAACCCAGGCTGGGCAAATAGAGTGCCAATACTCTGACACCCTGAAACATTCCAGAAGCCTGTCAGGAAAAAACAGACTGAAAATGTCATTGTTTTTACTCACCATGCTGCATAAAATAGGTAGAAAGATGGTTATGGTTGCTGGATTACTGACAAACTCTGTTACCAGTGACACCAAAATGCAGGCCAGTAGAGTTACAGCCCAGTAGGGAAGGCTGCTGAGGAACAGCATTTGGTGCCCAATCCACGTAGAGAGGCCAGAGGTCTGGAGAAAGGACAGAAGCACAAGAATTACTGAATACTTAGTATATTTTTAAAACAGATTCTTTCTTTGGAACAGTTTGCTTCAGAGAATGCCACCAGCAAATTAACAAAGTTCAGGTCAGTGCTTTATGCATTTTCTTTTGTTCAGTAAACTGGATGTCACTGAAGTGCCTCATAAATAGTTGCTCCCAGTAACAAAGAGATACAGTTGGCAGTTAATAATACTGAAAAGGCACCTGATCTTCCCTCTTCCTTCAGCATCTGGAGTATTGCAAATTGGTGATGAAGGATTGCACAGTCTGGGTAGAATTCATTTTTAAATTAAAATACACAAATTTAGTTGTCTACATGTAAAAGTCTGTAAGAGAGCTAGTTGGTTAGTTGCTAGTTGAGAAATTGTGACATCTCCCTCATATCCTGTATCCTGTCTGCCAGCTTTGTAGGAATATCTAGAAATTCAGATGCTTTAGAAAAAGCATCTGAAGTGGCAGATGTTTACACAACTGACTTCAGCCCTAACCATCTTTTTGTTAGTTAGATAGCTGTCCATTGAGTGCAGGGAGTAGGGACTAGGTTGTGTACCAAGTTGGAAGAATCCCCATTGTAAATCCAAACTGGGGAGCATACAGGGGGATATAAGTCCAGGTTTATAATTCTGTTAGGAAGGAGGATAAAAATCTAAATCAGGACCTTGCATCCAGCTGCTAAGGCATAACCTCCTCCAACCAACACTACAATCTCCCAGGGCATGGTCTTCTGGAAGTCCTTCCAGGTGATGATGGGATCCAGTGTGTTAATGTCTGTTGACTTTTCACCATCTCCTGTATCAAAATAAAGCAGATGTGGGACCAGTGTTACACTGGCCCTTTTGCAAAGACCTTTACATTTTTCGTTCTAATAGGAATAATGTAGTATCCATGGGAGTTGAGAACTATCTCTGAGAGGTGAATAAGAAGCACATAGCGTATTTCTCTGGTTAGCTTGGCCTCAGAAAATGAAGCATATTAATTCCAAATGCCCTGTCTTCCCCCTGGCTGATCTGTTGATGTTAGTAGTTATAAACCCATATGTTTCATTCTATAACTTTTTGAGGGACTATGTGCTCTGTTGTGTTTACACATATGCGAATTATATGTAGAATACAAAAATGGAGAAATGAAGTTATAATGGGATTAGTTTCTCCAAGAAGGTCATTTTCTCTTTCCAGTAGGCCATGAAGATTGATAAAATGCCTTTATGCCCCTTGGTTTTATGTGAGGACATTATTTTTTAGATGCCTGAGTATTTTCTTAGTGTTATTTTTTTCCTAAATGCTGCATAATATATGTCAGCATAAAAAATAAACATATCTATATACATTTGCAACTCTACATAAGACTCTATGCAGGCAATACTATTTTTACACAGGACTGCTGAAAGCCTGGAACAGCAAACTGGTCAACACCACTGAGTGCTACCCAAACATGCATGTGAAATTATTGTCAAGAAGACTGTGAGGGAAGCATTGCACAAAATTGGCACTTTGTCTGACACTTAGTGACCTCTTTTATGTTATTTTATGACATTATCAATGATTTCTGCTCTATAAGTGATGCTCAAATTATTTGTTAGAGCTTATCTTCAACCAATTTTGCAAACATCTACATTATATTTCTCTATATGGAAGTCTATCTGAACCTTTCCTAAAACTCAGTCCTAAATTTTGGTAACGCTGTTAAGAAAAGATAGGGGCCTTAGATATGAAATCTATTTGTCATCTTTTGGATGAGACAATATGAGTTAAAACAACAAAAATGAGGGGTTGATGTAGAAAGGGATGATATTGGAGGAGAAGCTGAACCCTGATCCACCACAATAAAAATCTCTTCTTGAAACATTCCAAAAAGAACAGAAATATGTCATTAAAGGCACTGTAAAATGTGCCAGATCTCTTTCTTGCTGCATCCTTCTCACCTTTTTCCCTTTTTCCAAAACAAGGCTTTTTTGCTGGAATCAGGAAAAGGAGAAAACCAAGAAATACAGAGACAGTGGCATCAGTCCGGTAACCTTTCCTAGGAAAGAAACAGTGGGGTTATCATAAAAGTACACTAAAAGAAACATTTCCAAACAACGTACATGGTTCCAAGTAATTGCTGCAGGTGAAGTTTTATTTCCACATCTGAAGTCTTACTAACAACCCACTGGAAATAGATATGTCTCTATCAAAAAATGTATGTCTATATATCAAAGATTCAAACTGGATTTTTTCCTATTTATTAAACTGACTCCTATAGCCAACTTCAATCACTGCTCAACAAATTTTAATATTCCAGTGGAGAAAAAAAGAATCCCTTTTGGTTTACAAGTCTATTAACTTGGAAGTTGAGAAAAACAGTGTGTTTACCAAAAGCAAGAAACTCAAGATATTCTGCCATACCCAAGTGATCCTTTAGAAATGAACTGTAGATTGATGTTTAATTAAATGTTTTAAACTCATCCTGAAAAAGTATTTTAAGGAGTGCCATGCTCCAGGGATCCTCAGGAAATCCCAATATAGAAATTGTTTTTCTGTCAAAATTAGGATAAAAAATTAAAATAATTTTATGCTGTAGAAATGTAAAGAAAATTTAACTTTAGATCACTTATTCTTTGATATGCTTATTGTGTGTTATAGTTATTTTTATTATAATTTGATTCAACATTATTTAAAATAACAATTATTTGCTTCAATCACCATTCTATGCAACATTCAATTGAAATGAACAATTTTAATTATAGTTGCAATCTATTCCATTGACAGCTTTGCTATGAATGCACTAAAATGTTTTAACTTCAGAATCTGACCCTCCTATTTTTTTTTACAGCTGAAATATGTTTATTTTTCTTTCTCTATTTAATTCATTCTGCTTATTGAGAAGGAATACAATTTTCCACCATACAAACAGATGTAGACTAACAAGACTCCATTTTTCACCACCTTATTAAAAGTGGCTGATGATGTTGTAAGGCCAAAAATTATTGCAGAAATTCCAAAGAAGCAAGGCTGTATTCCTCTGTGATTGTTTAGGTAATTTCACTTACTTCTCAAAAAAAGATGACCATCCTGGTACAAAGCCAGGCTCACGAGTAAACCAAAGCAGGGTCATCAGAATGAAGAAAAATCCAGTCACCATCTCAGGATAGCTAGAAGTAAAAGGAAAAAAAAAAAAAAACCTAGGCATTAAAATCCAAGGTCTGTCTGAAAGCCCATGAGCAAGTTCCAGAAGTAAGAAGTAGAAATTAGTTTCAAAAGAAGGATAAAACCCAGAAAATACAGAAAATAGAAAGGAAGACTAGTTTGAATTAAAGAATTTTACGTCTGGCTCCCAGCTGAGAACTCTCTAAACCCAGTAAAAAAAATAAGCTGAAACTACCTGTACTTGCAATTAATCTTTCATGGGCAATACCTAAGGGAAAGTATCTATAAATGTTTTGTATTTAGATTATTATCTAATTAAATGTGTTAACAAGGTAAAGCTTATGTTACTATTCCACTGTAAACACTTTCTATTGCATTTTTTACAAGTGTAGAAAGAGTACAAACAAATTACAATGTAAATTAGCACAGATATTTTAAACACGTGGAATAAATACAAAGTCACTAGAGGATACTGAGTTTTAATTAATGTACAGTGGATTTAAACTAAGTATGGTTTCATATTTAGGCACAGTCTGAATAACAGTCTAGATTTGGAGCTGATCATATTCAGCAAGTTGGTCTGTCAACATTTCAGTTGAAGAACACAAAAATGCTTTGGAATAATGGGCTTTATGAGGTATCATCCCTTTTGAAAAATTAAAATATTGCAAAATAATCTTTTCAAGAGACATTTCTTGCCACCATGAATAAAGATCGTGGCAACTGGGAAGGCTGGACATCTCACGGCATGGGAGACTGTTGTAAAGCCTTAGCTAAATAGTGAACTTCTATCCATAAAATAAGTATGGGCCTGAATTGCAAACGGGGGTCCTTTAGCAATTTAATTCAAAGGCAGAGACAAACTTTGACTCAGATGACCTTTGGACGCTGGTATAAACCTGAGTCTTTCGTTTTATTTCCTTTTTCTTTAGAAATAGATAAACAACTAAATAAACACATGCTTTTAAGAGTCTTTGATATTAGTTCATTTTTACATTTAGTTCTACTTCTATCCTGGAAAAGAGAAGAAAGAGCTGACAGTTTAAGAATAGCCTACATGAGCCAAAGGCAACATGCAGGGCAATATGACAGGATAGTCCTGACTAGAGAGGTAAATTCCAGAGGAAGGCAGGTCTGTTTTACCTAACATTTCCCAGTTTCTTATATTCTTCTTGAATTCTTCTCTCTGACATTTCTTCCCGTTTGGTCTTCTTCTTCTTGCTCACAGAACAGGTCTCTCTAAAACTGAGGAAGACAGCACAGTAAAATTAGACAAGGGCATCAAGTGGGGAAAAAAAACCCAAAAACCAACTCATAAAAAAATAACAGCAATGAAGCAAACTGAAAATTCCAGTTGCCAGGGGCTGTTGGGAGAAGACATGACTGGGGCAAGGCCTGATGGCAATGGGAAGGGGAATTACTGCATGAGATCTTTGCATAGTCTAGTTTCAAGATCTTCTGAGACTCAATCCTAGACATAGTAGGAAGGTACCCTCAGGTGGTCTGACTAATACTGACTGATATCTCTGAGCCATCTCTAGCTGTGGCTGGGCTCCCTTTGTTTAGGCTTCCTCAAACAGCTGGCACTGGCTATAATTTTTCTGGTGCCAGAAGCCTCCAATGGATAATTGGTGTCATCACATTGACAGACTGTGACAAGAGCCCAGCTGTCAATAGATATTTGATAGGGAAACTGCTTTCCAGTTGGATCAGGAGTATCCAGCACATTATGGGGCCTGGTCTGGCTTTTGAGCCCAGGTTTGACTTGAATATTCAGGATTCACAGTAAGCAATGGGGGAAAGCTGGGCTGAGGACCCAAATAGCTTTCATGACCTGTCTGTTTCTACTAATATTAGCTGTTTCTAAAACAGGCACAATCAGTGTAGCATCAAATTGCCTCTGCCACAGAGGCCAAGGCAATCGACCTAGTGTTTTGTCCTGGTGAAAAATCCTTGTACTTCTGCCAGGAACATACAAGTGCAAAAACATTTCATAGCTGAATATATTTAAACATGCTCCACATTCGTATGAAAATTAGGTGAAGTCCTTAGTTTATTCAGATTGCCTTTACACTATAACAAAGCCTGGACATTCCTGATTTGAATTAATATACTTGTAAGCTCATTTTAACCTTTTGCTTTTCTTCTTTCCAGTGGCATTGCTCTACTGTGATTTGAGCCACAGGTCCCTGCTTTTCCACTCCAACTGTACCCTCTGTCACAAGGTGTGTTAGGTAGGTTGAAAAACCTCTGCAGCTAAGACAGTCTAACATAGGCTGTAGCAACAGGGACCTCAGTGAATGAAGTACCATGGGAGTAGTGGCCTGGTTTTATAGTTCCTGCTATTCAATATCTTATTTGGTACCCAACCAGAGATCCATGCCATAGCACTGGCCAAACCATGGATTATGATCTCCTTCTCTGTATCTGGTTAAGGCCATATTCTCAAAGGAGTTTGCATAGCTCAAGATGCAGGCAGACCATGTCTGGCTAACAAAAAGTTTCAAACAGGTTCTTCGTTTCACTTGTAAATGGGTACTATGTGATGCTTGGTTTTAGTGCTCTTAGCATGGTACCTCTAAGTATTTAAATTTCCTCCCAAACCTTGCTGTTACACTCCAGTAAATTCCACCTGAAGAGAAGAGCTAAATAATGGCCAATTCTACAGTAACGATTCTACCCTTAGCTCTGCTTTGCTGGCAAAAATCATTTGATGGGTCCATTATCCTTCCTCCTTGATCTAATCTAGAGCCTAAAAAGCGAGGTCTTACTGGGCCAGGTAAGAACAGATTGATGACACTGGCCTTCCTAGGAAAAGAACATTAACATTATAGAAATTCAGTAAACGTTTATGTACAGGCATTAGGCAGCTTGTTATAAAAACATGTTACAAGTGTTTCTAGGCTTAGGAGGATGTGAAGGCAGAGTATTGTAGCCCAGATCCCAACATAATATGTTGTTTAATGAACTGCAGTGAACAGGAGTCAGAGATTAAGGAGGCCTGGAATCAACCAGTACTTCTCAAAAAGTCAATAATGAGTCAGTGCCCACTATTATTTAGAACAACATTAAACAACATGAGGTCTTGGATGCTATGTGGAATTTCAATTATACTTATTAGAAAAAAAAAAAAGTAACTGAGGGTCATGTTCGGGCCTGTTTCCTCTCAAGATTAAAAAACAAAACAAACCCCCCACAAAGAAAAAGTACCAACCAAAAAAAAAACAAACCAACAAACAAAACTTTAGCTTTTTAATTTGTAACTACAGGGCTCAGGAGATTGACTGAGAGAAGGACATGGAGCTATTCACCTCTAAATTACTTCTTCAAATCTAGTCAAGGTCAGCAGCAAGCAGAAGTCATTATCAATTTATTCATTGTCTTAGGTGAAATAAATTAGTGAAGCCAGTTTTAAGAGTAAACTAAATTGAATTAAGATCACTTTAATTCTGAGTAAATGTGCCTGCACCACAATTTAATACATGTTAACTAGTCCACTCTAAATGCACACATTTAGGCAATTTTCACTAACTTTGTTGTTGCTGAGTACTTCTGCAAACCACATATGTGGTACAAATGAACTGGGAGACTGAACCTTGCTCTTATTTTAGGGCTGAGGGACTTACTGGTATCAAAAGGTATGCATCTCTTAGGCTGTCAGTTTTTTCCACTTTAAAGAGAAATATATATGGAGCCTATTTGCTTTTAATTTTAACTGGTCTTACATTAGTCTCATTGAGCTGGGGACAGACCTGAAAAGTAACTTGTTCACTTGTAGTTGTTTTTCTATTCATCTTTTAAGCTGTACTTTTCCAAAAGGACTTTTAACAAAATTTTTGGTCTACAATGGGATCCTCTTGGTCATAACAGTCAAAAAATCAGTTGAATGCATAGTAAAGATTTCTATCAGCAATACCCAGGCACTTCACTCTCAAGCAGCAATACCATGCACTGCTGTCTATGCAGCACAGCTAGGCAATAAAATTTCCTCCAGTAACTGTTCTGTCAAGAAGGAAGTTGTGGCTTAGATTTTGTCATTTACAACTGAAAACATCCTTATGAGACATCTTCTAGAGGAGACACAGATGCCGTGCTTTCATAATCTATGCATCTTGAACAACTTGCACTTACTTGCAACCCAAGAACAGCCAATGCATCCAGAACCAAGTCAGGACCAACATGATGAGGGAGATGGGGAAACTGAACAAAAACCACGTTCCAAAATTCACCACTTCAGCCTTTGGGTAGTGACTGTAAAGGAAAAAAAAGGATGCACAAGAAGTTAGAACAGTAAAAAGACAGGCACCTCCAGTATACGTAGATGCACACCCACATATATATATGTCATGGCATGATAGAAAAATTGTGTCACTATGTGTTTGCAACAGCTGCAGTATATGTTCATAGTGAGACCAACTGTTAATCACTGACTGTGCCTGACCAAGAGATGTAGTACTTCGCACCTTTAAGACCAGATGGTCTGCATTGTCTAGCCATGTTCAAAAACCCTTAGAGCTATCAAGAGTGAAATTCTGGCCTTACCTGTTGTTTTTGTTAAAGCTCTGTTTAATGATGACAGACTAAAGAATTATTTCACCTGGAATCTCTATTTATGTCTTATTGTTGACCACACAAATAACGACCATAGTCTGCTGGACTCTAACAAAAATGTCTGACGTGATTTGATGCAACTGGCATAACAACAAGATCTTTGAAAATTAAGTAAAATCTGAATCCTTGGGTTAAGGATGGCTTCCAAAATTAGTTTTCTTTGCTACCACCATTTCAGAGAGAGAAATGAAGGGTACCATGACAACAGCGGCAGCAGTAGATAATCGGAGTCATCTCTGAGCTTGAACACTGGGCATGGAGGAAAGTTACATTACCATTACATGAGAGGAGGAAACAAAATTGCCTTCAGAAAGACTGTCTTACAAGGGTTCCTTGAGGTGGTAGATAACCCATGGGGAAAGCCACAGAGGTAATAATGACCCAATCATCATTTCCACACAACCAAAATATCACTTACTTGTTGAAGTGCTCTAAGAATATGAGACTAGTGGAGGTCCCTATGATGGTTGTCAGTCCTCCAATGGTTGCTGCATAGGAGATACTCAGTGAGAGGCATTTACAGACCATGTGGTCATGTCTCGTCTGATACCGGTACTTAGTGGTTAGGCCCAGTTCTGAGGGCTTAGGAGGCAGGACCAGTACCTGAGCCTGTGAGGGAATAGAGTCGCCAAAGAAAGCAGGTGATCAGAACAGCAGCCCAACTTACTCTAATGCCATGGCAATACTGGTCTCAGAGAAACAACAGGTTTGCTTAAGAGGGGGTGATTTTTTTCACAAGGATTAACTGTGGTCACAACTAAAAAATTGTCCAGGGGCCCGAAATTGCCTGGTCTGTGGCAGAAATGTAGGACAAACAATAATCAGACTTCTGGCTATGGTCTGGGCCAGCTCTAGTTCTGACTGGAATCTCAGCAGGATACCAGAAGTGTCTGTGGGCTGCAGGGGAAGGATGCTAGGACTGCAGCAGTAGGAATCCATAATCCTTGAGGTTTATGAGCAGCCACCAGACATATGCTTGGTGGCCTTTTTGCATTTATACTGGCTCAAGCCCTCTGATTAGGAATAGAGTGCTAGATGTCCCAGAAACAGCATGAAAAAGGCTGGGCAATGGGAATATGGAAGAAAAAGCTGCAGGAAAATACTATTCCAAAAGAAGCTTTCTTAACAGTGACAGGAAAGTTTGTGTATTGATAAATCAACTGGAAAAAAAGGAGCAGTACTTCAAGGCACGTCACATGCATACCAAGGCTGTAATTTAGGGTCAGAAAAAAGGCAGAAAATGGTTCAGATAGATTTGTTAATTTTATTAATTTGGATTTGGGCTTATGTAGTAAAATCAGTCATGCTGTGGTTCATCATCATGGTGAGGGTACCCTGGCTAAAATCCCTGTAGGTTAAAAGTGAAGTGAGTGTATTAGTTACAAAATAATCACTGAGCATGTATTGGAAATGGGTATAAGAGATAACTAAGTATCAGGAGAGCACATTAGCCTTTTTTTGGAAGCATACACTCAGATTCTTTTGAACTGTGAATGCAAATTTGTGTGTTGATTTTAGCCTAATCTTTCCTGGACATCAATTTATACAATCAAGATACTACATAATTGTAGTGCAAACAGCAATCACTTCTTGGATCCACTCAGAAGAAGCAGAAATTCTGGAATGGGCTGATGTGATGGAGGATTTTGAGGGTGGATGTTTGGCAAGACAAAAAAAGGATACTAAGACTAAGACTAATTGA